ACAAGAGTGTCCCACAAGAGTGTCCCACAAGAGTGTCCCACAAGAGTGTCCCACAAGAGTGTCCTGCAAGAGTGTCCCACAAGAGTGTCCCACAAGAGTGTCTCAAATGAGTGTCCCACATGTCCCACAAGAGTGTCCCGCAACAGTGTCCCGGAAGAGTGTCTCACAAGAGTGTCCCTTAAGAGTGCCCCACAAGAGTGTCCCGCAACAGTGTCCCACGAGAGTGTCCCACCAGAGTTTCCTACAAGAGTGTCCCACAAGAGTGCCCTCAAGAGTGTCCCACAAGAGTGTCCTACAAGAGGTCCCACAAGAGTGTCCTACAAGAGTGTCCCACAAGAGTGTCCCACAAGAGTGTCCCACAAGAGTGTCCTGCAAGAGTGTCCCACAAGAGTGTCCCACAAGAGTGTCCCAAATGAGTGTCCCACATGTCCCACAAGAGTGTCCCGCAACAGTGTCCCGCAAGAGTGTCTCACAGGAGTGTCCCTTAAGAGTGTCCCGCAAGAGTGTCCCACAAGACTGTCTCACAAGAGTGTCCCGTAAGAGTGTCCCACAAGAGTTTCCTACAAGAGTGACCCACAAGAGTGTCCTACAAGAGTGTCACTTGGACATATGTAGCTTTTGGAACGCGTTTGCATTCGGGTTCGTGGGCTCCATTGTTTTTTTTCGTGTTTTTCTGGGATCTTTTTTCACGTGTTATTTTGGGAGTGCTTTACAAGCATCAGGAGCAGCAGAAAGGTCAGGGGACGAAGCAGCAAAGCCAGCGGGAGGGAGAGAGCGAGACAGTGACAAAGGGAGGGAGCAGAAAAGGCATCCCACTTAACGAAGGAGAAGTAGGAGTGAGGAAAGAGGAGTGAGGAACTATAATAATAGAGACTACTATAATAATAGGGACTTCTTTGCGGTTGTCTTTGGGTTTCAGTGGTTCCAGGTTTCTTTGGGTTCGGTTTCGTGTCTTTAGGGTTTCTTTGGGCACCTCTGTTAAAAGTTCTTCGGCTGTTAATGTATCATATGTGTTTGTCAAATCATTTGACGCTACGAAAACATGCATGTTTTGTATATGATAACTATTACCTCGGGTGGTTCAGAAAAGGTATGCGCCGTTGGGCTGCTAAATTTTACCCTCGCGTGGCTCACAAAAAGGTATGCGGCGTTGGAATAGCACTCCTCCTCTAGATTTTACCCTGGGGCGCCTCACAAAAGGTATGCGCCGTTGGAATGGCACCTTCCTCTACACTGGGTGCGATATCAAAAAAGAACAGTAGCAAAAAAACATCACGAGGGATCACAAAGAAAAATTATCAAACGCATTCACAGCGAATAAAAAGAGAATGCGGAAAGGACAGTAGTAGTAGCAGCAGCAGTAGTAGCAGTGGTAGGGTACGGTAGGGGTAGGGCGCAGCGCTTCCTACTAGGCGAAGGTTTCTGGCTGTCACGCTAGGCCCTAGGCGATGGTGGGCCTTATCATCCACCTTTGTGGCAGCGTCAACGCAAAGAAGATAGTAGCGCCTCCCCCGCAATGTCAATACATCAAGTATAGACAGCGCTGGGCTGCTTCGTTTCTGGATTGGTCCAATTGGGTGTCACAGCTCAAGGTGAAGGTCTTATCACCCAACTTTGTTGGGTTGTCAGAGCTGAGCCTGCACTTTCATTCACCTTTGCGGCGCTGGCACAGGTGGGCCTTACCATCCTCCTTATCATCCTCACAGCTAAGTGCAGGCGGGCCTTACTTATCATCCACCTTTGTGGCAGTGTCAATGCAAAGAAGATAGCGGTAAGACTCGTAGTGCGGTGGTCGGGGTGATAGAGGCACTGGTAGTAGTGCGGGTAGTGGCAACTATTTAAAAAGCGGGAGGGGGGCGCGCCTGCTCCCACCAGCGAGCTAGCGCCCCACTGGGAAGCTCTCTCTACTAGGGAGCTATCAAGACTGAAGGACCATAAGACCAGCCCAGCGGACTACGAGACCAAGGGACTAGGTCTGGGTGCCCACTGGACCAAGAGACCGAAGGAGCAGGGGACCAGCGGAGTAGGAGAGCAAGAGACCAGCGGACCAGGAGACCGAAGGACCAGGGAACAGCGGACCAAAGGGCCAGCGGACCAAAGGACCAGGGGACCTGAGGACCAGGGGACCTAGTCAGGATTGATTTGATACCGTTCTTTTTAATTGATCCTGCTCTTTTTGTTTGATCCTGTTCTATTTTTGATCCTGATGGCCTAACTGTTACCCTCGAGTAGCTCACAAAAGGTCACAAAAGGAATGCACCGGCGCAGGCTCTTTACTGCAAGCAGCGCAGTAAATAAAGCTGGCCACTTGCAGCAGCACTTGCAGTGCTTCAAGCTGCCTATTTGCACTTGCAAAAGCAGAAGCAAAAAGCAAAAGCAGAAGCAAAAGCAAAAAGCAAAAGCAAAAGCAGGAGCAAAAGCAGAAGCAAGAAGCTAAAGCAACAAGAAAAAACAAAAGCAGAAGCAAAAGCAAAAAGCCAAAGCAACTCACCAGGACCATGGGACCTCCATACTCTCAAGTTGACTGTTCTAACAACCACACCAGCTTGCCCTTGAAGTCTCATCTGCGCGCTTTGCTGGGTGAGAGATCAAAAAAATGTTTAACGCATAAAACAATATTCCACACGCTCAAAAAATATTTAATGAAGCAAAAAATATTCCAAATAACAGTAGCAGTAAGAGTAGCAACCGGACTATAGCAGCAGTATCGTAGGCATTTCGTGGCAGGTGCAGGACTTTGTGGATGTTGAAGTGCAGAGTTGGTGGCCGGTGGTAGGCGCAGGACTTTATGGGCCTTGGAGTGCAGATTTCGTGGCAGGCGCAGGACTTTGTGGACCTTGAAGCGCAGATTTCGTGGCAGGTGCAGGACTTTGTGGGCCTCGGAGTGCAGATTTCGTGGCAGGCGCAGGACTTTGTGGCCTTGGAGCGCAGATTTCGTGGCAGGTGCAGGACTTTGTGGCCTTGGAGTGCAGATTTCGTGGCAGGCGCAGGAATTTTTGATGGAAGTGTAGAGTTGGTGGCAGGTGCAGGACTTTGTGGGCCTTGGAGTGCGCAGGCGCAGATTGATAGGTATAGATAGAGAGATAGAGGAGGCATAATTGCTTGGTTAGAAAAATTTGGCACCGGGGAGTTCACCTTAAAATATTGATTTCGTGGCAGGTGTGGGTGTCGGGGATGAAGTGCAGATTTCGTGGCGCGGGGGAGGGTTGGGGCTGCGCCCCCCCCAGCAGCACACGAGATCCAAAGGTGAGCAGCTCGTGCTTGCTTGCTTGTCGTAGTGTTTCGTGGCAGGTGCAGTACTTTGTGGACCTTGCACATTTCGTGGCAGGTGCAGGACTTTGTGGGCCTTGGAGTGCAGATTTCGTGGCAGGTGCAGGACTTTATGGGCCTTGGAGCGCAGATTTCGTCGCAGGCGCAGGACTTTTTTGTGGACCTTGAAGTGCAGATTTCGTGGCAGGTGCAGGACTTTGTGGGCCTTGGAGTGCAGATGTCGTGGCAGGCGCAGGACTTTGTGGACCCTGAAGTGCAGATTTCGTGGCAGGTGGAGGACTTTGTGGCCTTGGAGTGCAGATTTCGTGGCAGGCGCAGGAGTTTTTGATGTGGAAGTGTAGAGTTGGTGGCAGGTGCAGGACTTTGTGGGCCTTGGAGTGCAGATTTGGTGGCAGGACCAGCGGACCAGAGGACCAGAGGACCAGGGGACCAGCGGACCAGAGGACCAGGGGACCAGCGGACCAAAGGACCAGCGGACCAGGGGACCAGCGGACCAGATGACCGGCCACCCACACGACTGGGAATTCCAAGGGATTTCATCGCAAAACGAATATTTTTTTTGATTCAGTATTTTTTTTGATTCGGTATTTTTTTTGATTCGATAAATATACTTTTTTGTGATACCTATGCCCGCTTTGCTCGCGTCTTCAGACTGAAGCTCTGACGCGTCTTGCAGCTGTGTCACTATTCTACCTGCTTTAGAACTTCAACGAGTACCCATAAAGGTCATGGGCTGGTGGCTTGAAGGTTGGCCGGCTGGCTGCCTGCTGGCTGGCTGCAGCTTACAACGGCCGGCCGGCCGTTTGAGATAGCAGGTAGGCTACAATGGACTATAATTTATCACTTGAGTGGATTTCCTATTAAATGCAAAACTGAGCAAACAGCATCTAAACTATAAAATGGGGTGAGTGGATTCTGAGCATTCAACACTAAAAAAAACAAAAAAGCAGGCCTATAACATGTCCATGATGGGTTCACCATAGAACATACATTTAAAAAATCACTGTCTATAAAATGCCAAGTGTGGGTGCAAACGCAAAAAGATGGTGAACAAACAGGCACAAATCAGAAACTATCAAATGCCTCGCAACATCGCAGAACTTTGTCAAACACGCCTTGTAATCGGATAATGTGGTTATATAGCTGGAATTAACCTGCTGGCCTGTTCTTGCAATGTTGGTAGTATATTAGTATAAATACACCTGGTGGGTGCCTGCTGGCGTTAGGGCCCTTGCATCTGCCCTCCCCCATTTTATAGACAAGCAGGCATTGTAATTAGATGCAACTAGCTGGAATGCACCTGCTGGGTTGGGTTGGTTGGCTACATGGAGACTTTTGGGCAAATCTTCAAACAAGAATCATTTAGAGACCAATGGGGTCTATCAAATTATATACACAAAAACACATCCTGCTATAAAGTGCCCCCTTGACCCTAATAGCCTCAAAATCACTCAAGTTTCTGAAATGCAAAAATGGACCTCATACCTGCAAAACCTTCAAACAACCACCAAGATTCAGTGTGTGCACCGCACGGGTGCCCTATAAAATGAGGATCAAATTTGGCATAATATAGCACAAAAAGGAGCGGCATTTTATATACCGGTGGGGGATTGAGTAACCAAAGCAAAAACAGCAACGCGGTCAAGCATGCTTGACATTCTCACAGCACATCTGAGACATGCACGACACCCCTATACGGAGAAGGCCAATGGATTCTTCTCTGGAGAGCCTGGTGCAGAGATGCCTTGCTACGACCCACCCGCTCCCTGTCCAAACATGCCGTTGCACCCCTCATCAGTCATCAACTCTATCGCTGTGGAGGCCAAAACCGACCTGACTCTGCCAAGGCTGATGGTTGATCAAAAGCCAGTGCGGACTGGTCGCTCTCAACCAATTGTTTGAGCTGAAACACCATGTTTGAATCGAACATCTATACAAAGGGGGCGGTTGCAACAGTAGGTAATTACTAATTACTGTATAACTTCAGGGTGCGCCTCAGCTGATCAGTCTTTCCCGATGCTTCTGCCGAGCCTGATCCTCAAATAACTTTAGGACTCAAGCATGCTGGAAAGGGAAGTATACATTCAAAGCCTTGGTTTCCGGCCGCGAAGACCCTCATTCAGGACACTCTCCAATTGCTGCCTGAGAGCGGAATGTCCAGTTCGACAGGTTAAGTATGCTGAACACCTTGAGCTGGAAAAAAATGAACTGCAAAGCTTGGCCACGAGTCACTACAACTCCATTCTGCCATTCTGCAAACATGTGCAAAATAACATTGGCGGAGGTGATCAAGTTGTGTGCGGCTCGGCTTTGGTTGATCCACGTTGATCTCGAGAACTTTTACGATCTTTTACGTATGCATTGAGTGAAGAATTGCTGTTTGATACTACTGTAGCGGTGCCAACATCAACACGTTTCTTTGTCGGTAGCTTTCTGAACGCTTGTTCACTGCACTGCCTTCGAAACAGCGCCAACCTTGTACCCTGACTGTTCAAAGTATTCAAATTCTAGGTGCACTGTTTCTGATGCTGGAGGCTAAGCCCTCAGCGCTAGGCCACGCAAGTGTCTTCCAAGGCACACAGCCTCTGCAATGACCTTGACACGACGTGGTGTGCTGACTCGATCTGATGCAAATCTGCAAATCTCAAAAATTGACAAAATTCCACGCACTCAATTCAGGACCAAACCGAGTCATCGATTTTCGCACATGATGGAGATTGCGCAGCAGCAAGCACCTGAACACAGAATAGCACATAAATCCTTTTGCTTGGTCTGCCACGAATCATCTGAAACTGAAACAACATGCCCTTGAGCCATACTAATACCATCTAATAATCTAATACCGCCAAGTCGGAATTCCAAAAGCAGCCTTCAAACTGTACCCACGAGGGTGGCAGGGTGGAAGGAAGCGAACATGGTCGCCAGTCGTCATCGTGAATGTAGCCATCTTTGCCAGCTTGTTCAACACTCTTCCCACAACTTCCCACGTTGCAAACAGTGAAGTGCTGTTTGGGAACAGCGAAGGCAAGAGAAACACACCTTGGAATGGGAGGTGGCCGCACACCCGCACTAGCACGCAAAACAACAACAACAACAACAACAACAACAACAAATGTTCTGAGGTACCAGGTAGCGCGTGTGCTGAGTGGACAGTTTTGCCACATGTGCAACTGCAATTGCTGAGTGGTCACCCCGCTTCTCAAGTTTGCATTCGCTCAGCGATTGTTCGAAGCAGTTTCTTGTACAATTGGTGTTTGTTTGCATTGCTGCAAGTGCCGTGCAAGACATGTGTTGTCTGTAGGCCATAGTCTAGAGGGCATGTTTTGCAGCATGTGTTTTGTGAGAAGCTGTGGACTGGGTTTTGAATCAGGATTTGGTTTCTGGACAAAACTTATCAAAACTTCAGCATTGGCAAGCTGTCTTTGCTGTGTCACAATGTTCAGAGCAATTGGAGCAAGCATAAGGTTTCCTGATAAACTAAACTGCTTGCACCACGAGTAGGCATGCAAACAACTTAAGACTTACGAAAGCGAAGTCTTTATTCATCAAAAGCATGCTCACAAAGTGAGTCGCTGGCGCTGTACGCATTGTCTCTCACCGACGCCTTGGTGGTTTCATGCGATGTCATTATGATTGCAAGTGACATGGGAACTGAGGCAGCTCCAGGTTTTGCTTAGGACCATGACAGCATCAGCCGGCAGCTCCTGACAGGCAACCTCAGGGAACCCACTGAAAGAATCTGAAACACACCACCGGATATTTGAGGCCATGATAAATTGCACAACACCTGCCTTCAGTAGTTTTCCAATGGTGTCGTTCTCTCGAGACAGAGGTGCTGATTCCTGTGGGATGACAGTAACTAAGTTAACCTAGGATCATCGTTAAAAACGATGGGGGCGACACAAGCGCACAAGTAAATCCAGCTACCTACTTACAAGTTTCTTGACCCGTGAATATGAACGGATACCAAATCTTGCTAAATCATGGGTGGTGCCTTATTTCAATGATTTCGTGTGGGGATATCTCAGAATAGTATAGAATAGTTAGTAAGTGTGCCCCTAGTTCGTTTAACACAATTGAAGTTGGTTTTTGAGAGACCATTGTTGATGTTTGATGTCTTTGTCTTTTCTTCTCTGATGTTCCCAGGTTCTGACTTTCATGTCGCCTGCAAGGGCAAAAGGAACGCACGATTAGGATCACTTTGGAAGACAAACTCCAAGTTGCCGTGTCTTTCAATGATTTTTGAGGGATTTCATTGGGACACTCTCTGGGAGGAGTTCTTCCAGGTTGCACCATTGTGGCGGCTGTCCCAGTTTTCAGAAGCAGGTATATACAGCCCACTGGCAGGAAAAGACATTGACCAATAGTGGTGAGCCTCGTCAGAGATTTTTGGATAGCCAAAGGTTATATAATTGCATGCATTAGATTTCCATGTCCGCTCGTTGTCTTTCTTCGATCACAAAAACATCCAAGCGCTAGTCAGCCACGATATGGCCACCATAGAGAAAGTGGGACAGGGGTGTCACTCTTAAACGTCAGATTTTGTGAGCAAGGAAATCGGAAGGTTGCATATTTGATGGGGGCAGGGCGCAACGCCTCGCCCGGGTACAAACAAACAAACCATCGCAAGAAACCAGTGGAAACCGGGCAGCAGTAGCCAACAAAAACTAAGAGAAGCTACCAAAAGGCAACTGCCCACAGAGGTTGTTTACATTACTTACTTTTGAAGCCACAAAAGGTGTGCCAAATTGGAATGGCTCCTTCCTGTTTATTTTTTATCCTCGGGGTGGTCTACACAACGCGTGCCCCAAGAGCAATGGACACTTGTTTTCCTGCTCTGAATTTTTGCCCTCTGGCCCACACAAGGTATGCTCCAAGTTGGAACAGTTCCCTCCTGCTTTAGGCTTTACCATCATGGGCCAACAAACGGCATGCCAAGTTAGAATGGTTCCTTCCTGCTCTCAGTTTTGCCCTCGGGTTGGCCCACAAAAAGTATGCTACCCTCCAAGTTCTACCTGCTCCTCAAAATCCACAAACAAAAACTGAGTATCACAAGGAAAAACCTGACAAGAACAACAGGAAAACACAACCCACAGCCACACTACCAAACAACACGAAAACATTTGTAACACAAGAAAACACACCCTATTTATAAGCCCACGTACAACAAAAACAACCTGAAAAATCCGGCGACCACCAGATTTAAACAATTGGAAAAACAAAAAACATACATCAAGAACCAGAGAAAGACATGAAACACCACAACACAAGCTACCAAGAGAGAAAAACAAACAAGCAAGACATGAACATCACAAGGAAAACACACGCTAAAATACCCCGGCAAGACACCCCAAACAGTGTGTGTGTGAGGTCTAGAGGTGTAGTAGCATTGGGGTCGAGAGAGGTGGTGGTGGTGGTGATGAAGGTGGAGATCGTGGTGATGGGTGGCGGTGGTGGTGATAGTGAGTGTGAGTGAGTGAGTGAGTGGGTGGGTGAGTGAGTGAGCGAGTGAGCGAGTGAGAGAGTGAGAGTGTGAGAGTGTGAGAGTGTGAGAG